TAGTTTACTATCCATTGATGAATCTGTCGATTGAATTTGGAACTGACAAAAGGCAAGATAAACACTTGTTAATTGGTGACATGGATAATATCAATGGCAATAATCTCAAAATTGCCAAATATTGGCCTATTAATCAATGGTATATCTCACTATTTGGGCCACACTAATAATAATATTGTGATTTGTTAAATTTATTTTAAGGTTATCCAAAATTGTTGTATTTTGAGTTTGGATTCTAAATGAATAAAAAAAATAAAAAAAAAATAAGCAAGCGTTCTTACTATACTCACAGATGTAATCTCATTTTTCCCCCAAAAAAGTGAAAAACTGCAATACAATAAAAGCATTTTATAACAAAATTGTTCTAAAATCATGTGTGCAAGCTTCCTTTTTTTTTTTTTTTTTTTTGCTATAGGACCATATAGACAAACAGGAAGAAAGGGGATGGGATTGGGAAAGGTCCTCAAGTCAGGACTCAAACTCAGGTCACCCAATATACAACATGCTGGAGCATCGGCTCCAACAATTATTTCAGTTTTTGAGCTTACAAACCAAAGGATTCTCTTTTTACAAATTTAAGTGCAAACGTCTCTCAGCTTTTTGCTGATCTTTGAAAAATGTATTATAAAAATACAAAATAATGATTCATGGTATATCAATATAGTATCATGACTTACCATGTAAGTTTGATAGGAATTAATGTCAAGACATTTTTGCATTTTTGCAATAGCTTCTATTCTCCAAACTACTTTACTCAGATGTTCACACTGACAAGACTGAGTCATCAGGAAGCGACACCCTCCCTCGGTCTTCCTCAGTCCACATCTGATGATCTTCCCACAAGGTGTCTCACCTCCAGAAAAACGTGAAAGTGAGCACACCACGCTTCTCTAACCTTCTAAACATCTCCTAAGTTCAAGTGCAACACCACAGTACACTACATATAGACTATAGATGCTAGCAGTGCACTATAAGATCCCTGAGCAACAGTGTGATGACTGACAGTGAGTTAGGTAGCTTTGGAGAAGTAGGTCATAGAGCTAAAAATACCTATCTGTGTCTATCTCTCTCTCTAATCTTGAAGACAAAGAGAAAAAAAAGGTGAGTGAGTGAGTGAAATGAAGAGAACAGCCCACCAGTCTCAGAAAAAGAAAAATGCCCTTATAGAATTGCGGCCGCTTATGCAAACAAACATTAAAAAGGGCCTGAGTATAGAGATGGGGAGGAAGGATCTAGAACCGGGTGACTGTCTTCGGCTTAAAGGAACACTCCACTATTTTTGAAAATAGGCTCATTTTCCAACTCGCCTAGAGTTAAACAGTTGAGTTTTACCGTTTTCGAATCCATTCAGATTCGAAAACGGTAAAACTCAACTGTTTAACTCTAGGGGAGTTGGAAAATGAGCCTATTTTCAAAAATAGTGGAGTGTTCCTTTAAGAGCGACAGTGTGAAGAATTATATAGATCTCATTTTTCTCAGATCAGCGAGGCAAAGCGGAATAACTATCCAAGAAGTCCGCATTCCGCATCCTACGAGATGACTGGAAGAGACAGGACATCATCACTTTAGGAGACTGAGAGAGATAGTGGAAGATAGAGGAAAAATAGAGACAGTAAGTGAACCTGAGTAATTACTAGAGAGATGTGAGGACCAGTGGAGGAAGAGAGACTGAACAAAGAGAAATACGCAACGAGAACAGTGGGAAACTATTCCAAAGATTCAAAGATTCCCAATGAAATTCCATCATTTCGGTGAAGGCATGCCAGTTAGCAGATAATCAGCAATCAAGGCAGGCATAATTTAATCACCATCTCTTAAAAATGAGTGATTAATAAAAGCCAGTAATGTAAATTAGATTGGCTCCTCAACTGATATCTCCTCATGGCTTCAGAAGTACTGCACTTTAACTGGGTTCTTTGAAGAGGGTTATTGAAGAGTGTAACATCACAGTAATTCAGACGCTGATTGCAGCCCCTCTTTCTGTTCATTCATATTTCTCATGCAAATTTCTCTAAATGCACCAAGACGCACACCTGACCTTGTACATGACTAAAAACATCCGTCCACAGTCAACAGCAAAGTTCACCGCTCAGGGAAACTGATCAAACCGAAGAGAACCCAGTAAGATACTGCAAGATTTGTCATGTATGAGTTACTTACATGAGTCACTGAAACTGAACTGCGGATTTACAAAATCCACAGCAGTTTTATTCCTTTACTGAAAAGTATTAGATAGTGCTACTGAAGTTAATCAAGGTACTCAATGATATTCATGCAAAATTGTATAACCTAACACTTTACAAAAAGGTACCATTAGTTAAAGGGTTAGTTCATCCAAAAATTAAAATTAGGCTGCGTTTTACTCACCCCAGAGCCATCCTAGGTGTATATGACTTTCTTCTTTCAGACGAATCCAGTCTGAGTTATATTAAAAATTGTCCTGGCTATTCCAAGCTCTGTCATTGCAGTCAGCGGGTATTGCAGTGCTTCAGTCCAAAAGAAGTGAAATAAAAAGCGCCCGTTAGTGACCGTTGTTTTGTTTTGATCTCCCCGCTGCGTTTCCGCGTTCGTCACTTCTGAGCGGCGCATGCGCAAAGCCGACCTCATACGTCATCTGCCCGGAACGGCTTCCGTTTACAACAGTGAGCGCAAGCTAGATTAAAGGGATTATTATGTTTTGAATATGAATATTTTTCTTACAAAAACGCATCGATTCGCTACACGAGGCCTTCACCCCCCGGATCTGTGTGAGACACTTTTTTATGGATGGGTGCTTTTTATTTCACTTCTTTTGGACTGAAGCACTGCAACAACCGCTGACTGCAATGACAGAGCTTGGAATAGCCAGGACAATTTTTAATATAACTCCGACTGGATTCGTCTGAAAGAAGAAAGTCATATACACCTAGGATGCCTTGGGGTGAGTAAAACACAGCCTAATTTTCATTTTTGGGTGAACTAACCTTTTAATGCATTGACTAACATTAATGAGTAATAATACGTTTGTGACAGTATTAGTTTAAAAAAAAAAAGTTGTTCATTATGAGTTCATGTTATCCCAGGTTCATTAAAAAGGCTAATAATACTAACAGATAGGCCTACAACTTTTGGTTTATATAATGTATTAATAAACGTTGAAACTACCATTGGTATTGGTTATGCTATGGCTTCCATTCAGAAAAGTCACGTGAGGCACGAACTGTAAGTAGGATAGGGCTTAAGCTATATTTGCAGCACATATGTGAGATAAGGGTACATTTTTTTAAATTGACCTTTCAATTAATTGAATTAAAATATACCCCAGCGACTTAAGACTGGTTTTGTGGTCCAGGGTCACATATGTCCATACACACTTAATTTGTCAAGTCTGAATGCATTTATTTATTTATTTTTTTACAAAACATTTGTCTGAATTCAAATTATGTCAAAGCTATTCGCTTGAATTTGCGTAACCGGTAGCAAGAGTAACCAACACCCGAATGATAGTTCACGTGTACTCTCGTTTGTTATTTTTTATACATTGTAAGTTATTGAAATGCTATAATTTGCCATAAGGTAAGTTTCTTACCTCATCATAAAACCTTGCCTCGTGTCTACTGAACTCGCGCGCGCCGCTAACGGTTTTTGTGCAAGTGAGAATTTATGTCTCGTGCCATCATGCAAAAAGTCGTTTCAAAAAGGCTTTCAAGGCATTCACAAAGCTGAAATAATATGAATAATAACATTAGTAATTTACGTAGTCACGTGTTTGGCAGCAGCGCTCAATGCTGCCACAGAGTAGACACTTAAGTTATTTTTTTAAGTTAAAAAGCAGACAAATAGCCTAACATTCCACAAGCTATGTAAGTTGGCCTGCTTGTGTTTTGGTTGTTTTTACGAATTTTTTAATCTAAATAAAACTCTAAATAAAACGTCCCATAAACACATTTTAGATTTGTTTAGTTGTAGGCTATACTTTTATATATAATTAAATAGCTTATATATAAATAGCCTATATAATTTTAGGTTTGGTTTGGGTAACGTTTTAACCCGCAGTCCTGTGATGTTACCAAACTGCAACCAAAATACAACGTTGTGGAGACGATTTAAGCTTGCTGGGTCCAGGTAGGCAGCAATCGTGGTTGTTTCTGGAGAGAGAGATGCAAACCCGGTGTTCTGACAAATAATGCTACCTATCAGATTATGCTACCAACACTGTATTTATCCTACTGTAAGGGTAGGTTTAGGGTTGGGGTAGGTGTACAGGTTAATAAAGCCTCACACCTTATTAATATCATGCTGGAAGCAAAATCTGATAGGTAGCACTTTTCGCTATCGAATTATGCTACCATCTGTTTTAATGGGAGGTAGCAAAATCTGACAGGGTAGCACGCCGATGTTGTGCTGAATTCTGCAAATGTCGGCACTACACCGGCACAAGTGCAATTTCCTCTTTATCAGATACCTATAAAAGCTACACTCACATATGCATGCCAAATACAAACACGTCTCCCCATTCGAAAGGTCCCCGTCTCTAGCAGACGAATGTAAAGCAATTTTTGGCACTGAGCCCGTGTGGCGTCTGCGTGCCGCACGCCGAAAAAATGTGTCAGTGTGCACAAAGGAATCTAATGGAAACTTCACAGAATGTGCACTGATGCAACAGCGCATAAGAGATATCAGATGTTGTACTCCACTAAAATGTCATGTTTAAGCATGCATATTAGAAATCATATTCACGATGCACGTAATTTGTACAATCTAATGTGTGCGATCAGCGCGTGCAATGTAACCACTGAAAACCCTCGGTGTGATAAACTGTAACCTTTTCCGGTTCTGGCAGTTTGCACCTAAATGTTATCCTCTGACAAACAGCACACCAGTTCATTTTGTTTGACATCATATTACACAAAAGCAAAAGCAAAAAGGTTCAAGTATCGTCGTTTATCTTGGACTCGGTGACAAATGAACTCTCCGATTCCAATACCAACAACTGTAAGTTCCTAGTGATCAATACTGACCAGGGACGCCGGGTCAACATTCTCAACATTCCTCCATATCACTGTGCATATGCAGAAATTACACCCGAGACTCTACACTTTCTAACATGCCATATTTGCCCAGATGACAAAATGTCGTCGCATGCATTATTATTTATTGCATTTCAACATGCGTTCGTAGTTTAAACCTCGCCGGCATTTTATACTTTTAAAGATGTTTGTATATTTGTGAATTAGAACGATCGCTGTTTGTTGCATGCCATGTATTCCATAACGCAAAAAATATATATATATTTTTTTTTTTACTTACGATTTCAGAGGATTTTGGACCACTGTGGCCATTTTGATATAGAATGATACAATGTAAGACTGCAGATCCCCGGTATTGTACATGTAATATAGCAGCAATTTCAATTTCATTCATTCTCTGGGGCTGCGGCTGGATCGGCCAGCCAATAGGAGCACGACTGGCTGACGGTCACTGCTGGGAAATGTAGTTTTTATTCCCTGATGGCTTCAGGAGACAGCGGCGCGCGTACTACAAATATCACAATGCACTGCGGTTAACTGTATACTAGTCCCGCCTTGATTTTGGATGGGCAAACCAAAACATCTACTGTAAATTCAAGGTTGGATTGCTGGACTGTCTGTCAGTATTTTTGATCTCATGTTGGTAGTTTCTTATAATTCGTAGATAATTAGAGAGCGATGGGCAGCTATGAAGAGCGATTAAGTCAATATTTATTTTCTTAGTATGCATGTAATTATATTATATCTATTAGAGATAATTCGAGCAAATTTCGGTAGGCACTGATCAATATCATTATTACATAGCTTTATCCTGCTATATATGTGCGCTATATGTGTATATACCACTAACACAATTCCATCGACTTCTGTTGTGAGCTAATAATAGTTTTCATCTTCTAAATCTAAACCTCAAACAAACTTTTCTGCATTTTTACATTTTCATTAATTTCTTATTTAAAAAAAAATTCTACAGCCTGGCCTTAAAACATGCTAAACACGAGTAATATTAATGGACAATAACAGTAAACCAAATGTGTTTTTATACTGCTTATGTAATGAGAAACATTTACATCTAAATATTGTGAATATTATCAGCCAGACTGACCTCTAATAGAAATGGAATGACTGCAAAGGGCTCTTCAGTCCAGTTAACTGCAATGGCGCCACTTTGAAGGCATTCTGTGACATGTGATATTTATAGATCCCTGCTAACAAATATTTAATGAACCTTAGCAAGCTCTATGGAATGACTGAACAAAAATGTCCTGTTGATTCACAAGGGATTACTGCAGAATTGGTGCATTTTTGGGGGGATTTTAGAGTTGAGCTAATCTTCAATTTAAGATATTGCACTGCAATAAATTCTAAAACTAAATTTAAATATCAGTGCTATTCTATTTGCACCTACCGACAAAATTTTTACTAAATTTACAAAAATTTGATTTCCTAATCATACAATAATGAGCTCATGTGAGAATTTTTTCATGGAGACTTGTTTTTATTGACCTGGATACTACAGTGTAAATTCTGCACACAAAGACTGCCATGAGACAGTTGATCATATCAGCCACTAGAGGGCGTCCAAATGCTCAATAACGCACAATGAAGGCGGCCGATAGAGTAGCAACAGCGCCCTCTTGAGTCCAGCTAGAAAACCAAGCAGCGCCAGCAGCACAGTAGTAGCAGCAGCAGCTAGTAGTCCTGGGACAGTTGTAGTCCAAGTAGCTTTCCAGAGAGTTGTGATGGTTTTAAATCTTTTACTATGTCTGAAATGCTACTGAAAGATATGGAAGAGATTTCTCTCGGGCCTGTTAAAATGGACGAGCAGAAGGAAAATGGACGGAGTTTTCTCCTGGTGGACGAAAACGAAAGCTTGCAGGTTTGTTTTTGTTAGCTTCGGTGTTAGCCATCAAGCTATTAGGTAAACAGCACATGTAGGGTCTTAGTTGTTTTTATACACTTTGATAGATCAATTCACGAGCACGCTAATAACTAATTATGGTATGTGTAATTTAAATAATAAACAGATTAACCCTAAACTGTCAATATGATTGCATCATAAGGAAGGGCTGTCTTTTGACAACATTTAGGGATCTTTAGCCATTGATCAATATTGATTATATCAAGGGTTTGTTTAGTTTTTGTCACGTATATTCATGATCTCAGGTCTGTGTGCTGCTGTTATGTTATTTCTCTAACATGATATTCTGATGTATTTTGGTAATACCATGGTATACGAATGTAGCAGCTATTCGCTGTGATCTATGAGATAGACACCCAACAATGAGAGTCAACAATGAGTGTCGTTTAATAGGCTATTTTATAGCGTTTTCAGGAACCAGCCTAAAAGTGATCAATTGCTGTCACTTTGAGAGATTGTTACTGTATAGAGACCCAAAAATAAAACTTCATTATGTACTTACTCTTTTGTTGTTTCAAACCCATATGACTTTCTTTAGTGGAACACAAAAGGCAGGATGACTCATTCATCATTCATGATGACATAATTGTCATTTTAGGTGAACTGTCTCTTTAAAGGGGTCATATGATGCGATTTCATTTTTTCCTTTCTCTTTAGAGTGTTACAAGCTCTTGGTGCATAAAGAAGATCTGTAAAGTTGCAAAGACTAAAGTCTCAAATCCAAAGAGATATTCTTTATAAAAGTTAAGAGTTAGCCACACCTACCTAAAACGGCTCGTTCGAACACGCCCCCACATACCTACCTCACTATGTGGGAAGATTTGCATAACGCCACCCAAATGTTCACGCAAAGAAAGAAAGCATAACTTTTATTCTCGCTGTAGTATTGTTGACACTGCAGCCATGTGTATGTGGAAAATAATGTGTTTTTTTTTACTTTAAACCGCATAAACACATTTCATTACACCAAATACACAAAATAATGTTCTTTTTAGCAGCATCATATGACCCCTTTAAGATTCTTACAAATGGTGATAGACAGACAGACAGATAGATAGGTGGGGCAGGCATCCAAGAGCAACCATTAACACAGAATTCTGCAAACTCATTGTGAAATTACAGCAGAAAACATCCAGTAGCCCACACAGGCCGAATTAGAATTAAAATTCTGCATGCATCTAAAACAGAATCTCACAAAATTGCTATGTTTGAAAGCATTAAGAACTGAACCGTCATTATTATATGTGTATGTGTAGGTAGGGCCGGCCTATACATGTTAGAGGTCTTCTGTTAAACATTGTGATCTCCAACTGTTCGCAAATGTTTTAATTTGTTGTTTTGTTTTAATTGGTTACATTTGTCTAAATCATTTAATATTATATTGTTCTATTTGCATATATTGCTTTGGTAGTATGGAATTGAAAATTGAAATGGACTGAATTGGTAAACAGATTATGGATGGATGGATGGATGGATGGATGGATGATAGGCAAAATGATAGATTGATGGATGGATGGATGGATGATAGGCAAAATGATAGATTGATGGATGGATGGATGGATGGATGATAGGCAAAATGATAGATAGATAGATGGATGGATGGATGGGTGGATGATAGGCAAAATGATAGATAGATAGATAGATAGATAGATGGATGGATGGAGGATAGGCAAAAAGATAGATAGATAGATAGATAGATAGTAAAAGTAAACCTTATACTCTTTCTCTCTTCCAGGTGAAGAACGAAGCAGAGTTTTTGCAGAAGTTGGGCTGCAGCGCTGCTCAAGGAGTCAAAGTGCTTTCTATCTTCGGTAACACGGGCGACGGCAAGTCCCACACTCTCAATCACGTGCTTTTCAGTGGTGAAGAGGTGTTCGCCACGTCTCCTTCTCCGTCCTCATGCACGGTGGGCGTATGGGCTGCTTACGAGCCGCGTCTGAACCTGATAGTGCTGGACACGGAGGGCCTGCTCGGGGCCGCCAGTCAGCAGAACCGCCGGATGCGTCTGCTGCTGAAGGTTCTGGCCGTATCAGACATGGCCATCTACCGCACGCGGGCCGAGAGGCTGCACAACGACATGTTCCAGTTCCTCGGCAGCGCATCGGCTGCTTACCTGAAGCACTTCACACCTGAGCTCCGCGCTCTGTCTAGCCGCTGTGGGCTGGACGTGCCTCTCTCCAGCCTGGGACCTGCTGTTATAGTTTTCCAGGAGACTTTTCGCACTCAGCTGCTAGGCCAGGGTAAGTCAGAGTAAGCAGACTTTCACTGTTTACGAGGCCTGCAGTGTTTATCAATATGAATACAGCATTTTTCTGATACATGTTGTTGCCAAAGACTGTTGTACGACTAGCCTGGGGGCAAAGGGATTGCTGTTTAAACTTGGGTCTGCACACCCTCATGGGGCCTAAACACATAGCCAGGGGGGTCTTTGAAAAAGTCCTGAATTTTAGACTAGTGGAGAATCCCACAGGAAAGACGTAAGTTGTCAGTCAAACCAAAGGCTTTATTTCAAACTCAATTGTTTCATCGTTCCTGCTTTTATTTCTGTCTGCTTAGTGATGAGAATTTCAATTTGTTTCGTTATTTCTCTGTAGTCAAATGACAAATCTTTAGAGAGATTTCATTTGAGTCAGTAATACATGGGCCACAATGCTCATTTTTATCTATTATTTTAATCAAAAATACATAATAATGTAATGCATACAAACAAAGACTTAAATGCATGATGAGCATGTTCTTTTTAATTTTTTAATTAAAATTAATTTTGAACTGTTCTGATGTCATAATTCTTTTGACATTTTGACAAAACAAGATTGATATAATCATTTATATCTATCTATCTATCTATCTCATTTAATATTATTTCTATTTATGTATCTATCTATCTATCTATCTATCTCTAATCTATATATATATATATATATATATATATATTTATATTAGTGCTGTCAAAATTAGTGCGTTAACGCAGGCGATTAATTTTTAAATTTTAACGCGTTAAAAATATTTAACGCCTTTAATGCAGGGGCGGGGCTACGGTTGGCCACCCCACTATATATATATATTCATTTTATTTTATTCAAAGTATACTGTTAAATATTTTAAAACTTTTAACAAATATTTTGTACACTCAAAATGTATAAGGAATATATTTCAGGAAATAAGGAAAATATTTTTACTGTTTACTTACTGGTTAGAACACATGACATTTTCAAGTTTCGTAATTAAATGTTTAGTTTTCTTGAAAATCGTATATATATTTTTTAATCTTATGAAACCAAGATGAATACAAAGAGATAAAGATATTACATAAGATATAATGTAGTATTGCATCTTCCGGTGCTTTATTGCTTCTATAAAAGGTTGCTACGCAATAAAAAATTTTTTATTAGGACACATTTTCAAAGAAATACATTTTTTTTAAATCATTTGTCCAAAAGAAAAATCTAAACGTTGGAGGTAGCTTAATGGTTAAGCAACTAGTTATCTAACACAGATTGCAGGAAAATCCCAAGACAGGGTGACTCAGGTGTGGAGTGTTACAAAGATCACAATACTGCTCAGTTATAATTATGCCCTTGGGTAAACTCCAGGTTTTCAGCATGCTGTAAATCATGGTACATGAAAAGTGTTTTATAAAATGCATAAAAATCTTTAAATGCCTGTAAAACTTCTTTCATCTTTTTTTTTTATTTTGAAACAATAAAATTAGTGCCATCCAATGAAGTGTGTCAGGCTAGAGAAATATGGGTTTGGTTTTCTTTATCCAGATGGCTCTGTCCTGGGGCAAGCAGACACACTTCTGCAAAAGCGCTTCCATGACTTGGGCCAGAGCACAGACGCCTTCAGCTCTGTTCAGTACGTGGGCACCCAAACCATTACTCCCCCCACAGACTACTCACAGTTACTGCAGATTGTCAATCAGCAGGTGAACAACACATCCCAGCGAGCCCCGCGCCAGCCTGCCATTGTGTTCAGTGCATTGCAGGTAAACAGCGCCTCAAACATTTCTTTGTGTGTGTGTGTAAAGCGACCCTAAAAAGAATTTAGACACTAAAAGCTTTCATATTTGGTTTTATATTTTGTATCTAATTCAATTACAGTAAATTCATGTATTTAAAGGAGTAGTTCAATCAAAAAATTATAATGTCATAATCACAAAAGAGGAAGTTTAGCAGAATGTTCACAATGCTCTTTTCCATACATTGAAAGTAAAGGGTGACCAGGGAATTTCAAGTTCCAAAAGGGACTAAAAGCAACATAAAAGTGGTTCATTTGACTCTGTACCTTTAAATATACATTACATTCACAACCGTTCAAAAGTTTGGGGTTAAAATTATTATTATTATTAATTACATTACATTTATTCACATCTAAGATTGCATTAAATTTATCAACTTTAAAATAGGAACAAAATAGTGGCTTTTAAGATTTCTATTTTAAATAAATCCTATTCTTTCGAACTTTCTGTTGAAATGAAAAAATGCATCAGTTTCCACAATAATATTAAGCCGCATGATTGTTTTCAACATTGATAATAACAAAAAATTGTTTCTTGAGCACCAAGTTTATAGTTAATTAAAAGTAAAACCATGAAATAATTATTGTTACTTGAAATAAAATAAATTTTAACTGAAATAAAATATAAAAAATCGTAAACTTCTTTTATTTCAACATTTTGCCAAGCCAACGATTCTCATTTTCATTAAGCTTATCTTAACCTACAATAACTATACTAAGGTAAAAAAGTAAAACTTTAAATTTAAAATGAAAACAAAATACAAAAATAAAAACTAGTGCTGTCAAACGATTCATCGCAATTTATCGCATCCAAAATAAAAGTTTTTGTTTACATAACATATATGAGTGTACTGTTTATATTTATTATGTATATATAAATACACACACATGCATATATATATTTAAGAAAAAAGTGTTATGTTTATATTTTAAAAATATTTTTATATAATATAAATTATATGAATATAAATATATACATTTAAATATTTTCTAAATATATAATGTATGTGTGTGTATTTATATGTACATAATGAATATACACAGTACACACACATATATTATGTAAACAAATATGTTTATTTTGGATACGATTAATCGCGAATTAATCATTTGACAGCCCTAATGAAAACTAATTCAAAAATCACCAAATCAGCATATTAAAATGATGTTTGAAGGATCATGTGACACTAAAGCCTGGTGTAATGGTTGCTAAAAATTCAACTTTTCCATCACAGGAATAAATTATATTTTAAAATATATTAAAATAGAAAAAAAATTGAAATTGAAATAATATTTTACAATATTACTGTTTCTACCATATTTTAAATCAAATAAATGCAGCCTCGGTGAACATGGTGACTTCTTTCAAAGACATCTTACCAATCTTTTGAACGGTAGTGACTCAAGTGTCCTAAACTATTTTTGGGGTCAGTGTACGCATGTATGTGTTCACCTTTGTCCACTGAGCATGTTTCTGAAAACACGCTTCACTGGACTTCACTGCTCTGCTCTCTCTCAGGCCTTGAGCAACAGATTCTGTGGCGAGATCTCAGATGACAAAATCAGCATATGCTCCTTTTTTCCTGATGAATATTTCACTTGCCCATCAGTCTGTCTCAGCTGCAAGTAAGTCCACACATGCTCCGAGCTGTAGATTGAATGCTGTTTTTGTTTTTTTACATACAGGTTGTGTTGAATGCATTGATGCATTGTGTTTGACGCATAATGAATCAAGAACATTGCTGCATTGTCACACATCAGACTCTAATTTCATCACATCAACACTGAGCCACTTCATAATTTGATGATTTGCAGTTATAAAAAACTAGGGTCTCTATTCAGCATGCAAAACTAATATATGGAAATGAGTTGCACATGAATGTAATTAGATCGTTTGTGGAGTCGTTTGTTATTGTTTTAGCTTGTTCGTGACTTAATAGAGCAGTACTCTTCAAGAGTACTTAAGAACTACAGAATCATAACTAAACTCTCCAAAATTCCATGGCTTTAGTGTTCGGTGTAAGAATGGCATGAACCACCAGAAAGACGGGGTCTCACACATGGCCGATGGATTATGCCAGTATGCCCACCAATACAACAATAAAGTTCTCATTTGTAAGGTAAGAACTCACTGTCATAGCTAGTTCCCTTTTGAGGGAACTTCGAACTGCATCCTATAGAGGTCACTATGGGGGGACACCTTCAGTCTGACCGGTGTCTGAAGCATATCTAAAAACGACAATAACATTGGCCGGCGACAGCCTATGGCGTCATTACCCTGCGTGATCACAGTATAAAAGGGCGCCGGAATAACACGTCATCCTCTTCACTGACCGTTTGTTTATGTTAGCGTTAAGCTAAACACGACTAGGAGTGCATGTTTCTCGCCAGAGGCTTTGCTCTGATACCTGCATTTTCACACGGCTCGCGTGCTGTGTGTGTGTGGTGAAGAGCAAGTGCGTTCAGCTCTCGAGGGAGTTGGATGCGCTCTGCGTTCATTGCTTATTTCTTGTGAGGGATAAGCATGAATTGGACGCCCTCGTCTCACAAGGAGGCGGCGTGTGTTCATCGTGATGCATTCGCGGGACTACTGAGGGGGATGTCAGCATTTCACCATTTACCCGAGTTTGTAGATAGCGTTTGCATGAGTTAGTTCGCCTCTCGCGGGATTAGCGATGCATTCGCGGCAGCGGTTTTCGTTCGTGCTTGATTTCCGAGGTAATCTAGCCGTTGGGCGGAGCGTGTTTAGCTCCCGCGGGAGCTGAATGCATGCTGCGCGTTGCGGTCGCGGTGAGAACATGGAAAGGACCTGACGGGAAATTTTTCCCTATC